TGCCTGATAAAGTCGAAAGCGGGAATAAAGTAAGTAAAGTAAATTATCGTATCCGTTCCCGAAGGGAACTCACGACGGCCGCTAACACCCGATAAACCCTAGCGGCAGATGCAGCGCCTAACGGTGGGGGTGAGTGGGTAAGTCTCACAACCACTGGCACAAGTGCCGAAAACGACCCCATTAGCTGCAAAGCGGGAATGCACAGGAAAAAGGAAAAGAGTCTCCGCACTCCTATTTTTGAGTCTTGGAATACGATAGGATCACCTTTTTTCTTTTCTTTTTTTTCTTTTTTTTTACAAACGGGTACCCTTTTACTAACGGTACTTGAGATTAACGGGCGGGTACCCGGGTACCCGGTACACCCGTTTGACCCCTAGAGAGAACGCCCACTCGTTCCGTTGTGACAGATTCCAGGGCCTCGTTGAGGGGCCCTACCCCATCACCCATGGCTGCTTCTGGACTTGTTCTAGGTTTGAGTCCCGCGCACGAACAGAATGAGCACGAAAATGTGAAAAAAATTGTAAATGCATTTGTTTGGCTCCTGGGTGGCTCGCACACCGTGGCACTATGCCGGAAATTTGAGTTTTTCCGGCCTGGAAAGCCTGTCAGTGAGGCGCAAGAACTTGTAAATCATGTCCTGAGGGCCAGCATAGTGGCAGGAGTGTGTGGTCAAAATTTCACTCAAATCCATTGAGAAACACCAAAGTTACGGTCAATTGAATGCCATATGAAATTTATGGGTAGGCTGCCCCCTTAAATTAAAGGGGAAGTTAAGGCAAAAATTAAAATTTCACCAGTTGTAGTCTTCGGGGTGCTGAGTCGAATGGTCTTGGTCCGAGAAAGCTGAGACGCTCCCTTCCTACTTGAATCCCAATCGAACTCGCGCACTTCCACCGAAACTGGGTGACTGCGCCCTACTAGATGGGGATTTGTATGCAAAATGTCACTAAAAGCGCCATTTCGTTCTTATAAAAGCACGGATGACCGCGATTGGCCCATATGTTGTAGTCTTTTGGACGCTGAGTCGACTGGTTTTGGTCCGAAAAGGCTGCGATGCAGCGTTCCTCCTTTATTCCCAATCGAACATGGTTGAAGAAGCGGTCACGTGCTCCTGCGTACACCAGTCACCTGGTCACCGTGCCTGCAGGGTACAACTTACTAGCCTGTTTGACCTTTTTTGGGTGCAGTCCTGTCACTCGAGTTGAACCCGAGTTGAACCTTGGTGTGAAAGTTGTCACCTGCTGGCGTGGTGACCAGGTGATTTGGGCACCCAGGAGCACGTGACCGCTTCTTCAACCATGTTCGATTGGGAATAAAGGAGGAACGCTGCATCGCAGCCTTTTCAGACCAAAACCAGTCGACTCAGCGTCCCAAAGACTACAACATATGGGCCAATCGCGGTCATCCGTGCTTTTATAAGAACGAAATGGCGCTTTTAGTGACATTTTGCATGCAAATCCCCATCTAGTAGGGCGCAGTCACCCAGTTTCGGTGGAAGTGCGCGAGTTCGATTGGGATTCAAGTAGGAAGGGAGCGTCTCAGCTTCCTCGGACCACGACCATTCGACTCAGCACCCCGAAGACTACAACTGGTGAAATTTTAATTTTTGCCTTAACTTCCCCTTTAAGCCTGAACACATGCTTTGGTCAGTCGTGATAAATCTAATATTGACTTCGTACTTGGTCAGTATAGGAAATAAAAGACCTCGTAAAAGACCTCGGTCTTTTACGAGGTCTTTTATTTCCTATAGTGACTATACTGACCAAGTACTCAGTCAATATTACTAGATACATAGTACCGTACTGGCAATATATGTTGCCGCGTAACGCGTAACGCAGGGGGGTGCGGCGTAACGCGCGACTAGGCTAGTGCGACAAATTTTCGTTGAGTTCGTAACGCGCGTCCGGCGGGGTGCGGCGATCTTTTCATTGCAGTTTGCACTGCAAAAAAAAGGCTGAAAACTGTAAAAGCACGTGTACCGCGTGGTGAAAAGAAGTAGTTTTTGGAGGAAGCGCTCTTCCCCTATGTCACTTTCCTTTTGATGATCTTTTTGTGAACAGATCACTCTGATAGTTAAAATATACATGTACAGTCTTCTATTGATATCGTTGTCGCCCTTTGCCGTCGGGTTTGTAACAGTTGGATAGCAACTGAATTTCTGTGCCTTCAATGTGGATGAAAAGAAAAAATGATGCGGCAAAAGCAAAAAAATGATGCGGCAATAGCAAAAAAGTGATGCGGCAATAGCAAAAAAAGGACTGCGGCAATATAGAAGCCTGTGTAACGGCTCCTGTGCGACTTTGCATGTAACGCCCTGCGTGCGGCAAACATGTGCCAATGTAACGCTTCATGGCCTCACTGCGGCAACATAATTGCCAGTACGGTAGTCAGGAGCACTGTTTGCCATACAGTGTGTCCTCGCCTTGTTCACGCTGTCACTACTAGTACTACCGTGAAAACATGTACAATTCATCTACTAGTTACTGTAGTCTTGTGGTGCAGGATCTAGGACTTTGTTTACTTACTTGAAGTGCAGTCATGACTGTAGTTTTTGCTGGCCTTGTTGACTTTTTCACCCTCCACGTATAGTAGTACTGTACGTATAGTAGATAAGTCTATGTGCACTCCAGTGAACATAATTCTAAAGCCGCCCAGCAAGCCAAGCACTGGATGGGAGAATGCCTATACATGTATGTGACTGTCTATGAATCTATGATGGGGCAACAGGGGCGTGCTCGGCCCCCCAACTAGGGGGGTGCACGGGAGCCGAGGGGAGCCCCCCCCCCGGCAATTTTCTGCAATTTATCAGAGGACAACGATGACGGCAAACAGGTCCACTTTTGTGATGCAAGGTTGTAGCCTTCTCCAATGTCGTTTGGAGTGCCGCCTGAAGCGACTACATCAACCTCGTCGGGTTTATCCACCGCGGTAGACCTGGCAGCCTGGGCTACTTCTCCTGCGACCTCTTCAACTACTACCACTTCGTCTGACTCTTCACCTGTTGAAGAACCCTCATCGCCACTCGAGGAAATATCAGATTTTTTCGCTGCAGCAACAGCTCCCGCAGCAACAGTTGCAGAACGACCGAACGCTTCACTTAGAGTTAGCTGCGGCAGCGTGGAAGCTTTGCGCAATGACCTCAATGACGGCGGTCGATTTGACATTATGAAAAGAGCAGCTCAGTCATAGTCAGATACCCATACTTCAGGAAAGAAATCAAAGAATCCAGAGACCTGAAAGCAAGAAATCGAAACCGGGAAAGAATCCGACTGTCGCAAGGTACTAATGTTTATGCTGTGCACTGTGTAGATCTACGTGCAAAATTCTTGTTCGCGCTGCACGTGTACGTGTAGAAGGCCGTTTGCATGTGTACGTGTCACATCCGAGGTGCAGTATTATTTTTTTCAAAACCCAGATTGAAAATTTTGGGGGGGTGCACGTGCCCCCCGTGCCCCCCGCCGAGCACGCGCCTGGGCAAGCTTATGTCGGATCGACTCGACTCAACTAGAAGTACACTCTACTACGTATACGACCGTCTAGCTCTGTGTGCTACATGTATACAACTAGTAGTACTAGTAGTAGCTGTCCAGTGTATCTTACTGATTGTATCTAGCTAGCTAGCGCTAGCGCTAGCGCTAGCGCTAGCTATCTCAAAACAAAAAAGGGATTCGGATTTCAGCACTGTAGCTTGGTAGTGGTACGAGCAAGAAGGGGTTATGTACTCTTGCCGTCTTGGTACGCGTATACGAGTCATGTACTGATGTCAGTGATGAGTGATGTATAGCAAGAGTACATAAGTTCCAGTCATAACCCGGGTTTATAATGTACTCTTGTATACCGTACTGGCAATATATGTTGCCGCAGTGAGGCCATGAAGCGTTACATTAGCACATGTTTGCCGCACGCAGGGCGTTACATGCAAAGTCGCACAGGAGCCGTTACACAGGTTTCTTTATTGCCGCAGTCCTTTTTTTTCCTGGTAAACACATCGCTCTTCTTCGCAAAACGACCTGGGAAAGAAGAAACCATTGAGATCGCCAACCACTGAATGATGCTTGGGCGTGATTTTCTTCACGCCGAAGGCGAATAGAGACTTCTGCATTGTCACAAGGAAACTTGTAAACACATCGCAAAACGACCTCGGGAAAGAAGAAACCATTGAGATCGCCAACCACTGAATGATGTGCCCTCGAGTGTCAGGACTTCCTGCTGCGTCCAGTTTTGAACTTTTCACCACGCGGTACACGTGCTTTCACAGTTTTCATCAACTTTTCAGCCTTTTTTTTGCAGTGCAAACTGCAATGAAAAGATCGCCGCACCCCGCCGGACGCGCGTTACGAACTCAACGAAAATTTGTCGCACTAGCCTGGTCGCGCGTTACGCCGCACCCCCCTGCGTTACGCGTTACGCGGCAACATATATTGCCAGTACGGTAGTAGATCTACATCGTGCATCTCGCTGTATCACGAATCGATCACGTGTAGATCTACGAGACAGTCTAGCTCGATCGTACGAGCTAGACGGCCTTTGACTTGAGAAATTTGAAAACAGAAAACAATTTTTTGGAAGAATGCTGTCCGACTGAGCTTTTCATCTGCTCGATTGTGTTGAGTAGGTTTTTGCAGTAGTAGGTAAGAATATTCTATTTTACTAGTCGTACTCGTAGTGGCCTAGAGCCTGCCTGGCTCAGTGCATCTGGCAGTTGCAAGGGCGGGTATGAGGAGGTGTTCGTCGACGTTCTCAGTCAGTTATTGTGACCAATTCGGCCAGTCTGTTGTCAGTTGCCATTTGAGTCAGCTCACAGCACGTATACATGATCTTGCTGCGCCTAGATTGATTTAGGATTGACCCACGCCAGAGCCAGTGAACGGAGCCGGAGCGGGGCTAGTTCCAGAGTGACACACGTTCACGTGGAGCGAATTTTTGGCTGGAGATTTATTGGTTTGAGCATTACGTCATAGGTACGTCATCAGAGTGCTGTTGCACGGCGGATCGGAGAGATGTGGCGGCAAGTGCGTGATATGGCAGTAGTACTGGTCATCGTAGTGACAGTGTGTTTGATGGAGAACAGTGCTGGGGCGACGTGTACGCATGCGGCCGGCTGTGCCACAAGCACACACCCGGCGCAGGCAGCTTGTAACCGCGGGGCGGGCTGCATCACTGCCACGGCTGCTGCGGCATCACAATGCACGATGCCGGATGCACGACCGACGCAGTCGAAACGTCTCCTCCAGTCGGCAAACGTGGAGAAAACGATCGCCGACCTGGTGCCCAAGTTTAAATCCGCCGACCTGGCAACGCTGTGGAGCAACTGTCTGCCGAACACCATCGACACGACGGTGCGCAGGTGGAAGGACTCGTCGTCGCCGGAGACAGCGGATGCATTCATCGTCACCGGTGATATCGAGGCGATGTGGCTGCGCGACAGCACCAACCAGGTACTGCCGTATCTTGGCATGGTGATGAACAGTGAGGCGGCGGACGACGACGACGGTCAGGATGCCGCTCTGGTTGACCTGCTGGAGGGCGTGATACGGCGTCAGGCACGCAGCGTTCTGATCGACCCGTACGCAAACGCCTTCACGTTGCTCCTGACCGACGCCAGTCCGCACGCCGACGACCAGACCTCGTACCCGGGCTTTGCCGGCACACGGCCCAACGGCATGCATCGCGGCGTGTTTGAGCGTAAATACGAACTGGACTCGCTGGCCAATGTGCTGCTGTTGTCGGCGCGCTACTACGACGCCACGGGCCGGCTGGGCGTGTTCGATCAGACGTGGCTCGACGCGGTGCAGAGCATCCTGAACGTGATGCACACACAGCAGGAGGAGGTGGTGGGACAGGGACAGGCGGAGTACACGTTCCAGCGCGCCGCCTACAACCCGACGGACACGCTCTCGCACGGCGACACCTGGCCGAACCGGGCCACCGGCATGATACGCTCAGCGTTTCGGCCGTCCGACGACGCCACCACGTACCCGTACAATATACCGTCGAACGCTCTCGCCGTGGTGGCGCTGAGGAAAGTGGCTACGCTGCTCAAGAAGCTCGACGTCCATGCGCTGGCCGAAGATTGCCTGGCGCTGGCCAGTGGCGTAGAGAAGGCCGTACACGAACATGGCGTCATCAAGCATCGCAGCGGCGCCTCCGTGTTTGCCTACGAAGTTGACGGCTTCGGCAACTACCTGTTCATGGACGACGCCAATCTTCCGTCTCTCCTGTCGCTGCCCGTGTTCGGGTTCATCAACGCGTCCGACCCTTTGTACCTGACCACGCGGCAGCATATCCTCTCGCCGGACACCAACCCGTATTTCTTCCGCGGCCCGGCCGGCAGTGGGGTGGGTGGTCCGCACAACGGTGCCAACTACATCTGGCCGCTGTCCATCATGGTGGAGGCGTGGACGGCGCAGGACGACGGCGAGGTGTTGGCGCGGCTCGAGCTCCTGGTCAACTCCAGCGCCTGCACGGGTCTGATGCACGAGAGCTTCCACTCGGACTCCGTGTTCTCTTACACGCGCAGCTGGTTTGCCTGGGCCAACTCCTTTTTCGGCGATCTGGTGCTGAAGATAGCACGTGAACGTCCGCACCTGATTCTAAAGTGACCGCGTGGCAATGACCATGACAAAGCAATGCCACACACCACCCACATCTAGTCTACCTGTAGGCATAAACACTCTTGAATCTGAAATGACAAGATTCGACCTGGTAGGTTGGAAATGTGCGTCTGATCTGGGGAGCTAATGCAAACTAGCCTGCATGGCGCTGTTGGTGTGTGTTACCAGGCACCCTCTTGAGAAGCGTAGTAGCACTTCTGGATGAGACGTGCGTCGTGCTGACTCTGCGCGACTGCTGACAACCACTTGTTTTGCCCGGTGTACTTGACACTGTGGTGCTCTTTTGTAGTTTTTTTCTCAGTACATGCAGTTGAGCGATTACTTTTTACTAAGTTTTTAGGCGACCGCGTGACGGCTGTAGTTCAACTCTCGATTCCTACTAGTGCCGTACTGGTTAGTACCCATTGTTGTTAAGCAGCAGTGCAGAAGCGCGGTGTTTGCCGCTTTATGTAAACGTGTACTTTTGTACGTCCGTAGTAGCAGTTATTAATACCAAGTCGTGCGGCGAATCATATCCGTAAATATTTATAGCCACAATTCCGTTTTACACGTAGAAATTGCCAGCTCCCTGTTCCCTACATCTAAGCACCAGTGGTGGTGCTTGCACCGATGCAACATGCCACTAGTCACTGCTTCTCGGGCTGTGCTAGTCCAACCTCTAGTTTGAGGTGTGTTAGAAGCGCCTATTCACGGCGCACGCTGTTTTTACAATTTTTTCCGGAGATTTCTCTTGAGAATTTTTACACGGCAGTATTATTTCTCACTCGTTATTCCGTCTCCTGTTGACTTTCGTCTGTGTAGCCATAAGACTAGTGTGATTACTAGTGATACTGATTATGTGATATGCTATTCCGCTCTATACCGGTATGGGCGCGAGTATTTTAACAATTGGCGAAGCATCATTTTACGGCAGAAATCATCCGTAAAGAATTTCCTTGTATTGATGATAGCTGCGTTACAACCAGGGAGTAGTACAATATAATTATGGTATTGTACTACTCCCTGGGTACAACAGTTCTCCAGCAGGTCTACTGAGTACTGTGGCAGTCCAGTGCAGTACTATCGGGTGCATGCCGAAGAACTGTGATGGCCACTCTCCTAGTCCTAGCCTAGGCCGGTCATATTGTCATGTACAGTGACCATGGTGACTGTTGGTCACCGAAGAACTGTGGGTCAGCCACCTAGTCCTCGCCTAGACCGTTCTTATTTTCATGTAACACACTCTATGCACAGTGGAGTCACCGTGTATACATTGGTATGCTGTGCTTGGGAAAATCCTACAAGTAGCTTGTTGGTTCTTCGGCGCTCCGTTCTTCTGCACTCGACCGTGCACTATTATGACATCACACAATCATACTATGATACGAGACAGGGAGTTGGCGTTGGTGTGGTACCATTCCCATTCTCTCTCTCCCTCCCCCCATCTCTCTCTCTCTCTCTCTCTCTCTCTCTCTCTCTCTCTCTCTCTCTCTCTCTCGCATATATAATACACCCAGCCACGCACGCACACACACATGCACACACACACACACGCATGCGTCCACTCAAAGGACAGATTATGTGGTCCGTGCAAAGCCCAATCACTCATTAATTTTACACCTTTTCTGGGTTGTGACACGAGCCCAAAGGTTAACTCACAGGACACAAAGGTGCCACAGACAACCAGTGTAAAGAGTGTAGGTCTACACACAGACAACACGTGAAAAGAGAGTACATTCCTGAATGTCACCAACGTAGCACGGATGAAGAACTAAAAATCTGAAAAAATGAAAGTGAAGAGTGCCAATTGCAAGAGGTTTCCTTACAGATGAGCAAGGCGAAAGTGAGTGTGCGTAAAAAAAACCCAGATTTGAAGCGGAGGAAACGGCAGATAAAATCCAGGGCTGCACATTCATAATACTACTGTGTAATTTAAGATCATACTGATAAGATGTGTGTTCGTCTTATAAGAACTGAATGCAGGATAGTTTTGAATATAACTTATCTATTGCTCCAACACAAGGTAGCATTGGAACGAGGCTAAAATGTTGTTTTTCTCGAGTTCTACGTCAATTACACCAATCACTAGATAACAAATCTATTGAAGAAATAAAGAAATCTATTGAAGAAATAAAGAAATCTATTGTGATTACAATTATTGTTTGGCAGCTAATGAAAGTTTCTTCCCCATGGTGTTGTGTAGGCTTGGTGAAAAATAAAGACGGCCGTATGTGGTGCAATGTAAGCAAGATGATCATGATGGGATAAGTCGGAAGGATGATGGGCCAGGCGCGAACATTTGGTAATAAAAATTTGATCTGAATCGCGGTAAAGAGACTGTTTTGGAGCTTAGAGTTTAGACGTGAAGTTTTATAAATGTGAAAGGGGCTGCGTTGGAGTTTGCGGACTATAAGAAAAGTCGGGAGGTTACTTCTGTTCTCTTCTCTTACGTTAGAATAGCAGGCAGAAAATAAATAGATGATGACGAAGTCCAGCCCGTACGTTCTAATTACTAGCGAGTGCATTACATAGCAGGAGCGGTCCCGTGTCGTGTTAGCCTGAGGGACGATGGCGTAACACCAGCACAATCGGCACCCCAACACAATAAATAAGTCAGAATATTAATCATGATAAGCTTTCTAGATGTCAGGCAATAGTTTCGTCCACGGCATCACAGAACAGGTGTTGGACATCCGTTAGCAATAACCTACCCAACTACGACGAAGAAAGCGACAAAGTCTTCACTTGCCGGAGTTGGCGACATGATCGCTTATGAAGTGAAGCGGATGTACGGGTGGTGATGGCGGTGTACACACACAAAAGCTCATGTACAAACACTCATACAGGCGACGGCACGCGTGCGCGCGTACACACACACACGTACACACACTTACACTTACACACACACGTACGTACACATGTGCATCACCAGGCAGCCAGAGGCGGGCATGAGCGTACAAACTCCACCAGCGTCTGTATGATATCTTCCTCGTTAGCCTTGCCGCCAAAGTACTCTGGTAGAGCATCAGGATTGACGTGCTCATGGATCGCAGCTACATTGGACCCACAGAAATGCGTCTGAACATAACAAACAGTAACAAAACATGCGCACACACATGCATACACACAAATGCACACACACAGACACATGTACACACAGACACATGTACACACGTACACGTACGCGTACACACACAAACACACACAGTAAAATGATTACAAGGATTAGAGAACGAATCTAGGCAAGTTTCGTATTAACTAAAAGCAGAAACCAGAAGCTCTCCAGTTTCAAAGTTGTGCATACCACGCCAGCTGCAACCCTACTCAAAGCACACACACACACACACATGTGCACAAACAAACACGGACACACACACACACACGGACACACACACACACGCATACACTATCTTTCTCGCTCTCGCTCTCTTTTCTGCGGCGCACAGTTATGCCAATGAAGCCTCGAGCGGTGTCGGTTGGGCTTGGTCTGGCCCACAGGCACTGCTGCCCTGTGTAGCCCCTATCATTGTCGTTGTACCGGCCCTGCGACTCTCCTGATCCTTTTATTTCATTGGTAGGGTTGTGTTTGACGTAAAGATCACAAGTAGACACACACGCACACGCATACATACACACACACACACACACACACTTGTACTTGTTGCTCACTGCCAAAACTGGTCACGTGGGTTTCCTCGGGAGAGGGGAGAGAGACTCAAAAGGAATCTTAGAAAGAGGGCTCAATTGGCTATTGAACCGCCCAACGGCCGACACCCCCTGGAATCCCCAAAACTCTGAGTGGACTTGAAAATTATCCCACTTATGGGCTCACCGCACCTCAGTAAGTGGGTGAGGATAAGGTGCAGAAAAAGGATTGACGGCATCAGGGTATCCGTCCTGGGATCCAACTGCAGTTACCCCTGCCCCCAGGGAAGGTAATATTTGCTACTAGTGTGGGTGGCTAAATCAGAGTGGATCTGATATAAGCGTCACTAGCACGATTGATTACACAAGAGTTAATCTAGCCAGAAGCAGTCCATGCTTAACAGATAATTATGTATACTTCGAGTAGAAAGTATATGAACCCTGTAACCAACAAAGGTGGCAGGTACAACATTACACCTTCAAGCAGCCGAGCCCGTTGGCAACAGACCCAACACAATCAGGCATAAGTGTACCCACCAACCGAACTAGCTGGCACACACACACGTACACACACACACACACACACACACACACACGTATACACATGTACACACACATAGACACACATACACACACATACACCACACACACACACACGTGAACACACGCCTGTGAATGCGGGCTTACCCGATCGCGGAGTTTCTCCGACATAAAGGGTTTGCAGAGCTTCCATAGCACGCTGTAGTAGAAGGGTTCGTTTACAAACGTTCCTCCGCCAAGTCTCACAGGAAAAGTCTACAACCACAGAGCACACCAAGACAAAGGAGAATAAAGTTGGAGTTCTGATAATTGGAATACGGGTTAATTGGAGCATACAAAAAAATACAAAATAACCGATTGATTAGTAGTTCACTCAGGGCCGATTTTAATCAATACGTATCACACATAACTGAATGAATGGCGGATGGTTCCGACTTCAAACTGGGCATGTGCACTTTTTTTCCATTTTTAGAGTTTGCAGACAATTAGAAAAGTGTTGAAAGTGGCAAACAAAAAAACTTGCTATGAAAGTGAGCGCCCAGCGCATGCTCTGCGCCGAGTGCTTTGGTAGGACATGAGTCATAGGAACTGAAAAAGCGGGTCACGTCAAGAAGCAAATCCGGCGTCACGGACAATAGCATGTACCAGCTAGCTGCCGTGTTGCACACACTCTTGTTTGTGTACTCTTGACGCTATGCATGCAGCCTGAGTGGCTACTTAGCACTTAGCTAAGTAAAGGATCTCAATGGATGATGTAATCACACTACCCAGCTATAAGCCAGTGATGCTAAGTAATAGTTAGGTGTTAGTCTCAGCAGTGGATCCAGCAATCTCCACAGGGGGTTCCAGTGCATATACTGATATAGTCAAAACTGAATAGCAGATACATGTACATGTACATGGACACGCATATGGTTGCCAGTAGTACATTTACGATATTTAGGGGGTTCTGGAACCTATCCTGGATCCGCCCTAGTCTGCTTGCCAATTCAGATGTGGGGTAGGGTGAATCTTCAGCATTTGAGCAATTCAGGAGTGGGGTTTGGTGGGGTGGGGGGCCGGGGTGGTCAAATTAATTGAAACAATCAATTTTGGTGGAGCGTCTTACAGCGTTTTTTTTTCTTCAGTGCAGCTAGCTATGTACAACGGCAGGTTCAAGCGATTCAAAAAGACAACCAAGTACGATGTATTGACGTCTTCACTGGGCAAAGACATAGTCATAGAACAGACAATAAATATTTCTCACGAACCTGTACGCCAACGAGAGCACGTCGTAGTAGCGCCGGCGTAAACTGATACGAGTGCGTGAACGAATAGTCCGCCAGGTTTTGCAGGAAATACATCCCTCCGACTTGAGTCTCCTCGTCCAAGCTCAACACCTCCATGAGAAACAGAAACGCTCGCTGTATGTCCGGCAGCGATATTTTGCTCGTGTCCCATCGACTGTAGTTGAAGATGAAAATCCGTCGGCCTTCCGTGTCGCGCTCCTTTAGCACAAGCAGAACTCCAGCCTCCAGAACTGGCAGGATTTCCTCGGCCGTCAAGTTCTCGAACATATCCGAGTGCTCTTTGCGAAACTTGTCATAGGCAACGAGTCGAGAGTGCGCTTTCCCAACATCGAGCTTGGCGACGCGCAAGAATTTCTTCAGCTCGACGTCTGTTTTCTTAGCCATTCGCTCGGGCAGCCTCTCTCTCAGCTCCTGGAGTGCTGTCATTCGCGACTGATCTGTCTCGTTCAGCTCAACTCGAGCCTTTTCTGCTACGGTTGGGCTCAATCCAGGACGCGCGAACATGGAATCCATTGTCGCCTGCGCTGCACGATGACCACAGAGTAGGTACAGCAGTAGCAGTACTAGTTGAAGCTGAGCGTTGTAATTGTGTGGCACAATCCCTTTTTTAATTATTGTTGTTCTCAAGCCGTCTCGCAGCTACAGCCTGTACAGGTCATGCATGCACTAACTGCTACGGAGATCATGTGTCACACAGTGTGGGCGGCAGCTCTCAGGTAGAATAAGGACACTTTTCTGGTGCCGCTGTACTTCAAGATCAGCGCTGCAACTCGCCATGGTGATAATGTGGCTGACGTCATGTTACCAAGGAAAACATGGCGTTTGGCCGTGTTCGCCGCACTCGAGCGCTCAGCTTTTTTTCACAATCTTGTTTTGAAAAATACTTCAAGTCTTTTGCAGCACTTTTGGAGGCCAGTCACATCGCGATCTGTACGAGTATCTTTATCATGGCCATTGTCTTGTGTCGTTTTGAGCTCGAATAGCTTTCTCTGATGAAGGATTCAAATATCATGACGTTCTCTATTTTATCGTGGGCATGCAGCTCCCCACTCGCAGCGGAGATGACATCGGACGGAATAAATGTGTCGAGTCCCGAGCAGGAGTTCTGCTGACAAAAAGTGATTAGCTCCTCGCGACCTGGGGCATGTGAGGACTACAGTTCTAGTTGGGCAATACCCCACGGACACATCTAGCTGGAAGCGCAGAGTCGATTGAGAAAAATGTCATGACGTTCTCTTTTATCGTGGGCATGAAGCTCCCCACTCGCAGCGGGGATGACATCGGACGGAATAAATGTGTCGAGTCCCGAGCAGGAGTTCTGCTGACAAAAGTGATTAGCTCCTCGCGATCTGGGGCATGTGAGGACTACAGTTCTAGTTGGGCAATACCCCACGGACACATCTAGCTGGAAGCGCAGAGTCGATTGAGAAAAATGACCAAGATCATAAAGAAGGCTTGTTTGCTTCCACAAAATGTTTTAGTAGCCGAGTCCACGCACTGAAAACTGCACTTGCATTGTTCCTGTCCAGTCAACTAGTCATACAGTACATCAGTGCAGTACAGAGTGCACTTGCAAGTCACAACGACACGAGCACAGTCACGTGTACAGTACAGACTCAGTTCACAGTTAGTTGTGACCAGCGATCGCGCGTGGGAGTCAAGTACCCTACTCAAAGTGCGCATGCTCGGCTCGCTGCATGCACTGTCTGTAGATCTACAGCAGATAGCTGGTGTGATGCACTACATGTACAGCGCAGTCATTTTATGTGTAAGAGACAATGTCGGCTAATTTGAAACGGCAATGACAGCTTCATCCATAAACGCGGAGCGTGGGGAATGTCTTTGGCGAATGAGAGCTGTTGCATTGGCTAGCTGTACATCCCAGCAAGCGGGAATGTGCTGGATATCGATACTAAACGCCCGTTCATCGCGGTGGTGAGTCTGAACAGACCCCGAGGTACGACAGCTTCGTATACTAAATGTGTACAGTGCGTATGGTGAAACAAGTCGATACTGGTTTCCAGCGAAATGTTGTTATCTATGTACAATATCCACCAATATCCTTTATCTAGGGCCCAAAGGCTATCCAGTTCACCAGGATTTGTGGCCTTACTATTTTTCGTTTTCTCCGCGTTTTAGGTTGAAATCTGAACATAAAAAGTAGCACTGATGACGTCATTCAGCTCATAATTTAAATTTGATATTGGAAATCGATGACAACTAACCCAATGTATCACCACAGAAAATTTGGTTGAAAAATATTAATGTATGCCAAAGTTATTACCAATACAAGTTTTGTACACACATGATCACCTTATTATACCTGAGCTCAGGAGAACGTCTCGCTCCTGCAAGAACGAACTGCCGACAGAGAAATATTCAAAAAGATAGTTGTTTGCGTTTCTGGATACTTTGGCCCTGTGTCTCTCTTTTTAGTCACTTTTCAGCAATCCGAAATCGAAAACCCAAATAAATTCCCAATGAAAGGACTCCTGTGTAGCCTTGTAAGTAGTTGTACAATCATGTAAGTAGTTGTAGGCTGTACTGTAGTGACTGATGACCCTGAAAGGCTGAAGCTGCGCAGGTGTCGCGATGTCACGATGCCGCTCGCGCTCGAACTACTTGATCGAATCAGAGAGCTACAGTCAGTAGCTGTTTGGTTTGTGGTTTCGAAGGTTCAAACAAGCGTGGTGATCGTGACCGGTGCACGATCCTGCCTGACACTGCATGCACTACACTGCACTGTCCTCTGTATGTCCTGTAGGCTGTAGACCTACTGCACTCTAATACTGCAATACTGGTTCAGGTTCAAACCAAAGGCAAAGGCAAAGACGATCGAAATGATCATGTGCCTGCCTGTTATCATGGTAAATCTAGTACAATCATGTTCAACCAGTTCAACAAGGTCAGCGCACGCGCCATGGACCATGCATCCAGTCCATAAGCTGTCTAGTCCGGCAGGCCGGGTAGATCTACGTAGAGTCTACGCCGCGGGTTGCGCTGGAGGTCGTGCGCGCACTTGGGCGGTGTCGAAACCGCTCTGGTGCGTAGGTGCGTAGGGGTTTCATACCGTACCTAGCATACGATACATGTACGCATTTTAGTTGAAGCCTCTTGTACGGGCAATGATTATGTACGCATTCATTTTCTTGTACTGGCAGAGGCCGCACCGTAGTTTGACTGTATACCGTACCATTAATAATAATTATTGCAAAAATGGTATGGCAACACCATGGTACCAGGGCATAGGGTCCGGCGGATTCTGCCGGCAGAAAAATTGGCAGAATTCGGTACTTTTTCTGGTAAGTTTCATGCATGTTTGGTATGTGGCCAAAACAATGGAGCAGAATTCGAGGAATTGCCCCCCATAAGGTTTGTATGGTTCTGCCAATATCACTGCTTTTCGAGCAGAATCTGCCACCTTTTATTTTTTTCGAGCAGAATGATCTGGTCCCTACCAGGCAGGGCAGTCAAAGTTAGCCTAGGGCGCTAGGGCAGACGCCAGGAAGACGGAGCAGCGTCACCATTGGTCACACCAAGGAGTTGTACCATGGCGTTGTAGATGGAGTATTGGAGAGGCTACAGAGGTCCATGGATCTTGCAGCTGAAAAGGGTGCGTCGAACTCGCTCACCTGTGGGCCATGGCCACTCAAGCATCATGGGTTGTCTCTACACAAGGGCGCGTTTCGAGATGCTGTCTGCCTCCGTTACGGGTGGACTACTGTATGCCCCACCTTCCAACAGAGCTGTGCCCGTGGAGCTGCCTTCACTGTCCCGCACGCTCTGTCTTGCCCAGTACATACATGTATATGTAACTGGCAGGGTTGGGGCCTTTTTCCATTTCTATGACTATGAGCCTCAATTCCTATGTTCTGTTGCCTAGGCATATGCGGATAATACCGGCAGAAAAATTGGCAAAATTCCGTACTTTTCTGGTAAGTTTCATGCACGTTTGGTATGTGGATAAAGAAATGGAGCAGAATTTGAGGAATTGCCCGCCATAAGGTTTGTATGATTCTGCCAATTTCACTGCTTTTCTAGCAGAATCTGCCACCTTTTCGAGCATTATCCGCACACCCCTAGTGTTGCCCGTACAAGAGGCCGATTACACCCCGTGACAAAAAAATGAAAAATAAGTAGGTGGCTATCCGTCCGTGCGGCACAGCGAGATGCGGGACATGACTGCTACCATGCTTACATCAGCAGCTCATGAATGACATGATAATTATTAGGATTGAGCCACGCCTCCAGCCATTATCTGGTGGGACTTTTCATTACTGGACGGCTATCCGTGCGCTTGAGTGAGCTTTCTTTGATATTCGGGTGTTCAACCCTCATGCTGGGCACCCTGTAAGAAGACCTTAGGGTCTGTTGGGAATGCCCAAGTAAAATAATAAAAATAAAATAGACAAAGTGTCTGTAGTCTTCGCTTAACACACAGGGCAGAACAACAGAGACCAAAAGTCTTTTTCGTAACTCCGAGTTTCGTGTTTCAAAAAACACTCATCAGACGAAAAATACAATACAAAAAAATGCTCGCTAGATCTCCGTCCACTTTATCCCTTCCGCATTAGGCCTTGGCGGATAATGGCGGCAGAAAAATTGGCAGAATTCGGTACTTTTTCTGGTACATGTAAGTTTCATGCATGATTGGTATGTGGAAAAAAGAAATGGAGCAGGATTCGAGGAATTGCCCGCCATAAGGTTGGTATGGTTCTGCCAATTTCACTGCTTTTCGAGCAAAATCCGCCACCTTTTCGAGAATTATTCTTTACCGCAGGCAGTTTATAAGCTTAGCATGCAGCAGAGAAACTATTAAAATTAATATTATTTATTATTGTGTAGTTCAAGACAGAGACTTATGCAAGGTGGGAGTCGACGCTTCCAGATGTCAACTTCGGTGACTCACAAATCCAATCCAGAGCACATGAGGAGCACAAGGAGCCTCCAAATGTGCTTTTAATCCTCCGTAGTAGGCGGACCTTTGTTGTCATCTATACAGATACAGGGGCCACAATGTTTTCATGATTTTATATGTCTGCATGTACATGTACATGACATAATTATTATATTCTGTTCGTTGCGCAGTGAATCATGCTCGGCCACGGCCAGCACTCTCCCCATGTCTTGCTCTGCATCCACTCACCCCCACCGTTAGGCGCTGCATCTGCCGCTAGGGTTTACCGGGTGTCAGCGGCCGTCGTGAGTTCACTTCGGGAACGGACACGATAATTTACTTTACTTGTACGAGGCCTGGGAGCATCATGATTCATTTCAATTTCTAAAAGTGCCCGTGGCCCATACATGTATAAATTGGTGTTCCACAATCATGGTCGATTCTCATCGCTATTTCTGTACAGGATTGGTACCAGTTAGTACTAAAAAATCCTTTACAAAAAACTAATACTCCCTGATTGGCATCCTGTGGAATTGCCTTCTCCAGCCTTTCAAAATGTACTTCGGAGTACATCAGAAACAATCAGACCGCAGACAGACAGTCAACAGACAGTCACTGACTGTCACCACCCTGACAGGGTCCTGAGAAGGTGACAGCGACTGTTGTCAGCTGACGAGCCGAGGGAAGGACGCTTCACACGAGTTGCGTGTCCCACGGGCCGGCCAAGACTGCCGTACTAGTACTATGGTTGATATCTTTAGTTCCGTATTTTCCCACTGCCTGGTGATTGGAACGAGAAAATCGATTCTGTACTACAAGTACATGTATAATACCTGACGATGCCGTCACGATGGCCAAGTGCCGAAGCGTTGTAGACTAACTGAACTGGTTCGGATGTGCAGCTCTATGGGAATGGGTGTGTCCACCCGGATTCCTTTCATGTATAATACCATTGTGATAAAAGGATCAAGAGCATTTACATGAACGCCTGATTGACAATGACATCCAAGAACGAACTGGGAATACACAACTATTGAACTAACATTACAAAAAATAAGAATAAAAAGACTTGAAACAACTCCCTAGTATAATGAGGGTCAGAACCGCGGCTAACACCCATACCGTTCAAATGGTCGCAAGACCGGGGCTCTGCCAACCGATGATGGTTCTAGCTTCATGTACATACATTGTACAACAAACTAGAGAAAAAACGCAGACGTGTGGTGCTCTGTGACTCGTGCAGTCAGCTGATCAGGGCAGACAAGAACACTGTTTTCAACACAGTGGGTCCTCTGCCTACTCGTAACATGCTGTCAATCAATCACCATGTTTTCAACCAAACAAGGCTTTCCTACTGCACATAATAAATATCTCCAGAACACCACCAACATATTCACCTTTCACTGTCTTCAACTTCAAGTCCAAGAAGAC